CATGATAGCCGTTTTCAGGTATCTAAAAGGGTGTCATAAGGAGGAGGGAGAAAACTTGTTCATCTTAGCCTCTGAGGATAGAACAAGAAGCAATGGGCTTAAACTGCAGCAAGGGAGGTTTAGATTGGACATGAGGAAAAAGTTCCTAACTGTCAGGGTAGTCAAACACTGGAATAAATTGCCCAGGGAGGTTGTGGAATCCCCATCTCTGGAGATATTTAAGAGTAGGTTAGATAAATGTCTATCAGGGATGGTCTAGACGGTATTTGGTCCTGCCATGAGGGTAGAGGACTGGACTCGATGACCTCTCGAGGTCCCTTCCAGTCCTAGTATTCTATGATTCTATGATTTTTGATAATTGACATAATGATTAATGATAGCATAAATGAAACATTGTACTCACAGACTTTATTTAATGGGACTTCTGCTGCTGCATCTTTTTGCACATTTCTGTGAAGTTTACATCATAACTGGTCAAATTCAGGTTCATGCATGCATTCAAGCTGCATGAGTAATTACGCATTCTTAAAATTTGGATTAATTTTTCATTTTAATTAAAAAAGTTGCATGCCTTTTGGGAATGTCAAAAGAGCCATTTTGGTTCCATACTGAGCCATAGGTTGTAGACCCTTGCCTTAGTACATAGCAATTACATTTTGGGTATGCAAAGGAATGAGTTGTGCCTTTGGGGTGACATTTTCTGAGGAGCCTCAGGGAGTTAGATGCTCCTATTGAAATTCAGTGAGAATTGATTGGCTTATTTTCCTTGAGCGCCTTTGAGAATCAAAGGATGCAGAGTTGCAAGGGTGTCACACTCCCCACAGAAACTTCTTCCTCGGAGAAGTGCCTCCTCTAAGCCTCCTGATTTCCCACAGAAAGAATACAGCTGCTGACCCGCTGCAGATAGGAGCTGTCCCTGTCTGAGTAGGGGCTGGCACAAGAGATGACTATGCCTCCCTTCCTCCCTCACCCACAGTAACCAGACACTGTCAGGTCCATCAGACATCTGAACCAATCTACCTTTTTTGCAGGATGCTCCTTCTACTCTTCTCTGGTCCCAGCCAGCTCCACAGGAGCAAGGTACAATCTGGCCCAAAGTGATGAAAGAAAGTTCATATTTTTACCCCACGCTAAGATTTGTCAAGTGAAACACAAGAGGCACAAGTGATCTGTAAAGGCAAAAACCTCACATGTATAGCTTAAGTTCCTATATGTACCATGGTACTTTGTATTATACTTCCAGTCTTGGTATTAATTGTACTTTATCCTAATGGCCTTAGTCTGCCCCTTATTGGTTAGATGAAACAACCAATACTTGTTGAGTCTGAAGGATGCGAGGAAATGGTTTGACTATTTCATTTTGTACCATCTGGATTAGTTTTTTCACTCTTAAGAATATGAGATCTTCAACCCTAGTAAAATATCAGCATCCAAACACTAAGTTGGAATAAATAGTGTAGCGACTCATGGAGTTGTCAGGCACTTGCAGATACTTGGCATCATTCAGGCAAATTTTCAAAAGCTGGCTTCCGTTTTTCACACTTTTGGACCACAAGACTATTTAGTAAGAAAGCATGGTATACCTGCCGTTATTTTTGGACGCAGAAATGAAATTTGGCTCAATGTCTAAAAGACCTTGGAGTCCACTTTCATGGTTATTTGCTCAGCTGACTATATTTGATATTAGTCAGTATCCTCATCAACACTGCAAAAAGGGCATACTTACAGGAATCAGAGTGCATTAGTAGCAGCGTTCACTTCTTGGTCTAAGGTGTTGCCCTATCTCTTAGCACTTTTCAGTACAGAGTGGAAAAACAAAGCAAGCAATGACATATTCTTTATTATCAGTTCAGAATATAGATTCATGGAGCATTCGTAGAGTTAGGTTCATGGAGCAGCTGAGCTGAGAAGGCTCCAGCTTGTTTTTTGAGGGGAGTGAGGTGTTTATATTTAAGCTTACTTCATGTTAGAACTTGAATCCTGGTAGGAACAACTGTATTTAAACAGTTGTCTGTCACAGTTCCTATACCACAGATTGCCTGTATGTCATGGTTAAGGATGTTTTTAATTGCCTTGCTAGGTGTAGCTGCAAACTGTGTATCTCACCATTTTCAACTCCTTTCATGCAATTTTTTCAGCTTTCTCTTTGTTTCCTGTCAATTTCAATATGCTTTCGATACAGTAGCTATATGCAGTGTTCATTTGTTCTTGTTATCCGTAGAGTCTATTTAGTTTTGTATATAAAAATATCCTATAAAGACACCATGCAGTGAATATAGTCATGCTCATTTTACTCCCATGTGTAAACAGTAGGACTGCTTGCATGAATAAGGCAAACAAGTTTGTGTGCCTGGTCCAGTATTAAGCTGTTTTAATGGATGATTCAAGAGTAATACCCTAGTCTAGAAGAAATCTTTCTGAAGGTTACTTAAAAGTATTTAATTGTTTAGACCAGTGGTTCCCAACATTTTCAAGCATATGGACCATTTTTCAATCTATTAAAGTTTCACAGACCCCCATCCCTGGGAGAGAAATAATAAATAAAAGGAAAAGTAAGGAAAGAAAAAGAAAAGAAAAGTAAGTGGTGGGCCCGATCCTTATTTTTAAACTTTCCACGGACCCCCCTGCAGTACCATTGCAGACCACAGGTTGGGAACCACTGGTTAACACCCTTTTCCCCCCCCATTGCTATGATGTCAATATATGTGTTTAATTTTCACTATGAAGAGGTTCGGAAGTAGTTAGAGGGAAATTGAATGTTGATTAATCATTTTTGTCACCAATTGTAATAGTGCAGGTTGAACTTCTCTAATCCACCTCTCTCCTCTCTGGCAACAGCTGGAGTCCTACATAATTTTAGTTAGCCAGATGTCCATTTATCATGGGTGTGACCAAGTTTCCCATGGTCCCATAAAGTTTGTTTATAGCCACCAGTGCAGTTCTGTGCTGTTATTTAGCTCTAATTTACACCTAAATGTCTTCTAAAAGGCCAGTAAACAGTGGAAGTGTTGGTAATGCTGCTAGACAACATTGACCTCCCATGGTTTGACAAATTCTCTGGTTCGGCACTGGTCAGGTCCTGAGGGTGCTGGACTGGAGAGGTTCAGCCTGTAGCATTTTACTAGTACAATAAGAATGTTTTAAGAAATAGGCAAAGAACAAATTCAATATATTGATATTATTACATAGCTGTAAATGTAACCATAATAGTGATGTTTTATAGAAAGATTGTTCTGTACAGAAGTACTCTAGATGCCAGTGTAACATTGTAGAATATAGACATAGTAGGCTACAAAGCTAAGATTATGGTTTATATGCTTTGATTCCTGGGAACTGTTTTATCAGCATGCAAGACATTATTTAAAATGGTCTTACCAGATGTTATATGCAGTGTACTTATAGCTGTATTGGTCCCAGGATTTTTCAATAGACAAGGTGGGTGACGTAATATCTCTTATTGGATTAACTTTTGTTGGTGAGAGAAACAGGCTTTTGGGCAGGGGTGGGCAATAATTTTCAATGGGAGGGGAAGGCCATACTCTTTCATGGTATTAATGGAGGAAGGGTGGGGTCTGAGATGGAGGTTGGGTGCAGAAGGCAGCAAGAGGTGAGCAGGAGCTGGTGCAGGTGGGGAGCCAGCTTAAAAGCAGAGCCACAGTGGCGGTAGCAAGTGCCCCCCCTTATCGACTAATTGAGTAGTCAGTGGAAATTCTGTTGACTATTCGATTAGCTGATTATTTGCATTTTAACATTCTTAGTTTAATTACGTAATTGTGTAACTGCTGAAAATTCCTGGCTGCCACCTGTACCCGTCCTCCCTGCCCTGCCCTGCTGCCTCTGATTCAGCCTTGTGGCTTAGAAGCTTGTCTCTCTCACCAATAGAATAAACTTAAAAAACAACAAATGGTCTGGTAGCACTTTATAGACTAACAAAACATGTAGATGGTATCATGGGCTTTCATAGGCACAGCCCACTTCCTCAGATGACTGGAGTTTCACCAATAGAAGTTATCAGATGTTAATTTAACAGAACAAATCTATATAAAATCTATCAGGAAGATAATTATTGAATATTTTACCAGCACAATAAATACTAACTTTGTTTGAGACTAACCAACCTAAGCAGTTTTTTTTGTAGCTTAGTTGTCAGCTCTTGAGTCTTGATTCTGACTTGTTTTTATGCTAGTTTTACATTAATGTAACTCCATTGATTTGAATCTAGTGACTTGCTCCTGATTTACAGGACCAGGGGAATAGCACCTAAAACTGAGACCCAGCATGAGTACTGTCAATAACACTTAAGGTTAGATTTTGAATTAACTTGTGCAAAATGTTTGGTTTTGTCCACAAAAGAGAATGTGGTTTTGTCCACAAAATAGAATAACAGTGCAATATGGATGCTATTTGCAGTGAATAATGTATTGCTTACATTTCTACAGGCTTTCGAGGATCAGAAAGAAAAGGAGAAGTCATGTTTAAGTGCAAAGGGGACATCATCTATACAAAAGAAGAAACCTCCTGATTCCACAGGTTAGAGCTTTCACTCTGCTCATTGTCTAAGGGCTCTGTTGGGGAACCCTTACTTTCTCATTCAGATAAGCACTTACTCATATGAATACTCCAGTTGAAATCATTGGGGCTAATTTTGGGAACAGATGCTCACCAACATGAGTAAGGGTTCCCCAATCAGCACCTAAACATTTAAGATTCTTTCACTCTATTACAGCTAGTGCATTCCTTGCTGTTGTACATAGTCATAAACTTTCTAAGAACATGCTTTTGCTTGAATATTTTATTAAACTAGTCTTAGTTCACCATTAATTTAAATAAGAAAAATGTCTGACAGGGCTAACTTTAAAGGCTAAGAATCCATAGGTGCTTTTCATAATGGGATTTAAAAATAATTATACTTTGCTTAAAAGTTCATGTCTATTGTTGTTGCTTAGAAAACATTTCCATTGACCTTGGAAGGAGAAAATCAGGTGCCACTTCAGTAAGTAATTGAAAATATGATAATTACGTAAGTCCTTAATTAATATGCTTGGTATTCTCTGATTGTTTCCAGAGATGACCAACCAGGAAAACCAGTCCTGGTCTCACAAAGAAACAATCCATGTGCTTAATAAGGAAAATACTGAAAAGGCAAGTGCTTTTTGGGGTCAAAGGAATTCTCCCAAATCTCAAGGACCAAAGGATAAGAAAGAGGGTTTAGCTTTGGAAAACCAGAAGAAACACACAACAAGCTCTGTTCAAACATCCTTCAGTACAGGAAAGAGCCAAAGAGCAAAGGATGCTGTTGATTACCATGGCCAAAGGATAAAAGGGCAAGATAAAGAGAAGGAAAGTGAATCACTGGAAAGTGTGAAGAGGGCTTGTAGACAGAAAGTGCCAGAAAGGCAAGAGGAGGAAAAAGAAGAAGAAGATGCTGGCCAGTGCAGAGAAGAGAAGGAAGAATCAGTAACTTTATCCCAAAATAAAGATGAGGCAGAGGATGATGAGGGTCCACCAGAAAGCCATGGACAAGATGCACGGCTTCAAAGGTACGCTTTAAAACCCAAAGCCTATATTAGCTTTTTCTTAGAGACCCATATTTCAGAAAGCCATTTATTTCAAGCATTAAACTGAGTAAGTATATTAGCAATATTTATTTAAGAGCTGTCATGAATCCAGCCCAATGTTCTAACTAAAGTGGGCTTAGAAGGCTGGCTGTGGCTCTGAAGTAACAACCCACCACACATGGCACAACCAGTATCATCAGTATCATCTTATGCAGGCCTAAGCCTCTCTAAGAAGTACAAGCTCCTTCTTTGTCGTAATTATGTGACACTTGTCTAGGGAACTAAATTGATAACCTTTTTACTGTAATTCTTTCTGTGTGGCATTATTTTATAGTCCTTCAGGGAGAAGGCGTTCAAACTTTCAAGAATCTTTATAATCTTTATAAACCCAGGATGTCTGTAATGTTCTCCCACTACTTTAAAGATGTGGTTGATGGTCAAATATGAAATCTGCGGAATTCAAGCAGTTGTTTCAGAAATAGGAAATTGGCTGCAGTCAAGATTAACATAACTGTTATTTTTTCCCCAAAGGAAGGGAAGTTTAACCTAGTTAGTTACCATTATTGTTTTTAAATGCATTGTGACCCTGGAATTTTTACCTAGAGTTCTAAGTTCTGTTTTACATTTATGCCAATTTAATGCAATGCTTTGTTTTGCAGATATAAAGACAGCGAAGAAGGCACAGCAAGCAAACCATCAGGGACGTTCTCCCAGAGTTCTGAACAGACCAGCCAGCTTGAGCATAGTGGCAGCAGTAAGCGTCAAGTGAATGATGACAGTCTAATCAAAGCTGAAAACAAAACGAGCAGGGTAGACACTGAGAGTGCTGGTGACAAATGTATATGTAAAGAGGCCATTAAGCCCAATACTCCACAAGACAAACCAGAGGCATTTGATTCCCCTGGTACAGAGAGTGATAATCAAATAGAGGAACCTATAAAAGAATCAGTGACTGTAATTGGTAGAAAATAGTTTTTGCTTAAAAAAAAAGAATATGTATGGTAACTATGAACAAAACTACTTGTTCCTAGGGGCCAGATCCCTAGCTGATGCAAATCAGTTATGTTAATTTTTTATCAGCTGAGGATCTGATCTGACCTCTGTTTTTAGTGTGTTCTGTTCTGGGAGTTGGAAAGTATAAAGTATCTTGGGGAAATTTGGTTGAAAGCCGTTGATATTTCAGGTCAGACTAGAGGTTTGGACTGGTCCTTTCAGGCCTTAACATTCATGAAGTTAGAAACTCCTACCCCAGAAATGGTAATGTTTTGTGAATCTGTCAGTTGTTTTTGGAATCCCACTTTCTTAAGTTGTTGTAAAGTCCACACTGGAAGGTTGTAACCCTTGAGGATCAAATCCTGCCTCAAGAGGAACTCAGTAACATGCAAAATATAGTGTTTAAAGTCTGCATTTCAAATCCTGCAGAATGCAAAGTGGCAAAATTCCAGGAGCCCTAACCTCCTACAATTCCTTGACCATGACCTAACTGGCCATGTAAGTTATTAACACATTAAAAAATCTGGGTACACAGCTGGTGTCCTGGAAAAATGGTCATGCCCTGTGAATAAGGATAATCCAGACGTACATTAATGACCAAAGCATTCCTGCCAACTACATATTATCATGGG